GGACAGAGAGTGAGAAGCATATTTCCCATTAATTTTGTGGATTTTATCCCAGACTGCTTTTGAGCTAGTGGAAGATGTTATGCTAGAAACATACTTCCTCCAAGAATCCCTTTGGCTTTGCCTTCTTATTCTTCTGGCATTTGCCTTTGCTTTTTTAAAAGCAATCAAATTTCTAGCAGTGGGGTATCTTCTGAAAATCCCCCATGCTTTCTTTTGTGCTTTAAATGCTGCCTCGCAATTCTGGTTCCACCATGGTTTAGGATGTTTTGGATATCTAGTTGATGTTTTCCCCATTGTATTTTCGGCTGCCTGAATGATACTGGAAGTGACAACCTCAACTGCATCATTGATATCTGCAGTATTCACCATTTCCTCAGTGATGTTAGCCAAAGAGGAAAATGCAGGCCAATCTGCAGTTTCCAGTTTCCAGCGTGGTGGACGGGCTGTTTCACAGCTTTCTCTACCTTGGTATTTTAGAAATATGAAGAAGTGGTCACTAGAGAGTGGATTAGATCCAACCTCCCATGAAAATGCTGAAAACAGGTTTGGACTCGCTAATGAGAGATCAATGGCAGTAAAAGTTCTTGATGGGGCATGGAAGTATGTCACTTCTCCAGTATTAAATAAATACAGTTGCTGATTACCTATGAGTCGTTCAATGGCTCTGCCTCGACGATTAATGTCGGGACTGCCCCACATAGAATTGTGGCCATTGAAATCTCCAAGTAAAAGGAATAATGTTGGCAGCTGTTCAACTAATGCATCCAGTTCATCTTCGTTGACTCTGACATCTGGTGGCAAGTATATAGAGCAAACTGTGACAGTTACTCCAATAGATATTCTGGCTGCCACAGCTTGCAGCTCTGTTGTTATTTGTACCGGTAAGGATGGAATGCAATTTGAAATCAAAATATCCACACCACCACTAACACGGTTGTGGCTATCATCATCCTTGCAATAGAGATTAAATCCTTTTGAAAAAATATTTTCTCCAGGTTTTAGATGTGTTTCCTGTAGTGCCACGCAGAGAGATGAGGTAGATGATGTCAAGTGTTTAATGTCAGAAAAGTTGTTGCAAAAACCACGACAGTTCCATTGGATTATTTTATAATCCATTATGTGTTTGAGGCAGCATTTTTAGCAAGGTTATCCCTCTTTAATTTCACAGGGGCTTTTTCTTTTAAAGGTGACGTTGGTGGTGTCACCTCCTTATTAGTCTCTTCGTCTGAAAAGTCAGAGAACTCACTCATAGACTGAGTCTCCGATTTTTTGGATTTAGAGAGGGCTGCTTTCATTCGTTATTTATTAAGAGGGTTCTTACTGGCTTTTTTGGAACCCACATTCCTAGTTGTTACCCCTGTTTTAGGTATGAGTGGTTTTGTCTTGTTTTGTTCTTTTTCTTTGGTAGATAGTATCAGCAGACATTTTTCATGGCGAGTCAGAGATTCAATTGGTGAAACAGAAATGTCTGTCTGAACTCCACATGTCTTTGTGGATTTCAGAACAGCAGCAAATGTCTTCTGTTTCACTGGTGCACTTAAAGTGACCATGCGACGTGCCTCTGGGTAAGATATGTTATTAACAGTCTTCAATCGCTGAATTTCTTTCTCTTTCTGCCATGCAGTGCATTTTCGTGAGTAGGCAGGATGGGCATCTTTGCAGTTTACACAGCATGCAGTGCTGGTACACTCAGTACTCTGGTGACCTTCAACTCCACACTGTGCACATAAACTTTTGCCTCGACAGGATGTTTGGGAATGTCCAAATCGCTGGCATTTGAAACAACGCAGCGGATTTGGAATATATGGGCGAACCGAGCAGCGCAAATATCCTGCGGTAAGAAAAGATGGTATTGTTGGTTTGTTAAATGTGACGATTAAATGTTTTGTAGGAATTATCTTGCCATCTCGACAAATGAAGATGCGTCGTACAGCAGTAACTCCTTGGTCTGAAAGGCCAATCTGAATATCTGATTCGTCCTCAGACATCAGATCAATTTCAGATATCACACCACGTGATAAGTTCAAACTTGTGTGTGGCGTGATAGTGACTTGTATGTCTTCTAGAGACTTTAAATTCAAAAGTTTTCCTGACTGTTGAAGGGAGGCTGTTTCTACGAGTAGATCTACCGACCTCAATTTTTGGATTTTTTTAACATGCCCAATAGTTGATTCGAAAAGTTTCTGGATTAAGAAAGGAGAGCGTTTAGACATAGGTGTTTCTCCTGTAGCGTGAACGATAAGGTAGGTTGGTTGATTGGAGGAATTAACCTCCTTTGGTGGCAGTGCCTTGGTAAATGTCTTAGATTTTAAAGAATCCATATTTAAAGATAATCATTCAGCTCCTAGTGACCCCACCCACCACGGGGCCCAACGAGGGGATGCAGTCACATGGGAAACTCCCATAGACCGTCACACCAGGGTTTCCCAGGAGCTATACCCTCACAATGCAGTCAAGAAGAGCACATCTTGTATGACATGTCTGCCCGGTCTGCATCGATCAGTTGACTCCAAGCCGAGGTCAAGAATGAGTGAACGACCAGCCAATTGACTCAAACGGAGCCTGATTTGAGCCTCCCGTTTATCCGAAGCAGGGGCCAAAGCAGTGTGTTGGGGACGTTATGTTGCCCCTCAACTACCAGGATCCCCCTTTCCGGCATACGGGACACCACGCACGGCAAACACGTGGGTGGGCGTTCAGATCCCAGGGATGGTAAAGAGGAATTTCTAGACCATCTCTGGGAAGTCCCCTCACCACGGACAGGAACCCACATCGAGGGGCTAATGTTTTCAGTTTTCCCAAAGATCCTGTTCTATGTAAACAATGGATTAAAGCAATACATAGAAAAGATTTTGAACCCAGTACTAATTCTGTAGTTTGCATACATCATTTTGATGAACAGTTTATTATTAGAGAAGATAGCACCGTGTGTGATGCTACTGTTCTCACTATTCAACGTAAACATCCTAGTCTAAAAAAGGATGCATTTCCTACAAAATTTCCAAATCAGCCATCATACTTATCTACTATACTTCCAACAAAAAAATGCAATCCAGAAGAAAAATCAACTAAATTGCTCGAAAAAGAAGAAAAAAAGTATAAAAATTGGTTATCCACAGATAAGATTAATTTTAAAAAGTTAGAAAAAATTAGAAATAAAAGAATTCCTGAAAATTGGATTACAATACCATCTGAAATGGATTCATTACAATATATTTCTTTTTTAAAAATAGATGTTACGCAATGTCCAAAAATTATTATTGGTATCAAAGTTATGAAAGATTTATCTATTGAAATATGGCAAAATGAAATTTCGATTGCTGTATCAAAATTTAAAAGGATATTAAGTGATAGTATGAAATGTGATCTATGGAGCAAGTTTGATTGTTTAACCCCTTAACGCCCATTGACGAGATAACTCGTCAAGCGTGAGTCATGCGGTATGCCCATTGACGAGATAACTCGTCCAATTTTCAAAATTCGTTCCTGTTCTGCCTATGGACGATATAACTCGGGCAAAGCTTATTTTACTTTCTATTGGATGTTGTTTATGACATCAGAAAATTTTAAAATTATACACCCAATAAAAGTTTAAATTTTGGACCATTTTTTCGGTCCCCACCTATTGAGTGTATAGATGATCGAAAATTTCGTAATGTATTTGAATGTTTACGGTAACTGATGCACATCTGTCTAGAAACCGGTCTTCCCCTGCGATTTGTATGAGAATATCCCGCTAATGGCTATAAACAGCTGTTTTCAAGGACATTACGCTAACTACACCGTACAGCTGCGCGTGTGACGTGATCCGACGCGATTTTTTTTTATTTGAAAGATAATTCGTTTCTAAATAATATGTAATAAAGGAAATTAAGTTATATGTTAAAATGTTTGAGAAATCTATTTCATAAATTGGTGTATTAAATGTTTTTTTAATTTTTTGTGGGAGTTTTTCCTGTAAAACACAAAAAACAATGTTAGGTTAACGATGTTAAGATTAGCATATAATATAAGTAATAACAAGAAAATAAAAAAAAAATTATTAGAAAATAACGTAATACAATTGAGTATTTGCAGTAACTAGTTCAGATGTGTGTAGAAAACCTACTTCCCCTCAGGCTGTTGTTGGGAACAACCCGCGAAAGCTTACAATCAGCTGTTTTCAAGGTCGTCCAGATGTTTATCTGTACTAAAGCTTGTATCGAGTGTCTCTTTGCCAGTATTGTGTTACATAAAAAATAATAAGTTTCTAAATAATACATTATAAAATAAGTGAAAATTTATACTAAAATTTTTTATAAATTTATTTTATAAAATGGTGTATTATAAATTATTTTAATTTTTTGTGGGAGCTTATTGTAAAGCTTTTTATGTCAACATATAAGGCTAGAAACGATTATAGAATAAGTATTACTGTAATATAAAGAATTTTTTTTGTATTTGTGTAAAGATATTCATATAAATAAGCTTTTATAATAAAAGTTCTTTGACACTTCTGCATGTAATTGTCAAATCCCAGAAGAAAAAATAAAATAACAGGATTGTCTAGAGTAATTTTTTTTTATGTATATATATCGATTGTTTTGTACAGATTGTTGAATATATTCTTGCAGTTACTTTTTTTTTTTATTTTTATCTAAAATCATTTGATCTAATTTTATCTATAAAACACAAATTTACAATAATATTTACACGTATTATTGCAAATTTGTGTTATTTGAATTATTGTAAATTTATTTTTGAAAAAACCATAGAATAAAAATAAATCAATAGGTTTTATTTTCAGATTTTATAATGTGAAGTAATTTGTTGTCTTCTGTACTAAACGAACTGCACTTTTCTAGAGCCTCAGGGTGTAAAATGTCTTTGTTTACAATATACTATTTCTCTCTTCGTAAGAAACTCCAGGGGGTAGTGTGGGTCAAGCAATGTAGGACAGATAAAACCTTTTTCTGATAATAAGCTAATGAAAAATATTCATAAACAGAATTTTTATAAAAACTCTGCATTCTTCTATCAAAAACACGATGTTTTGCAGGAAAAGCACTTTTACAGATGCAAGTATTGTTTCAAATGTAGTATTACATTCACTGTGTTTTTTTTTTTGTTTACTAGCAAAGTCATATTACAGTTTACCATAGTTTTGTATTTTGTTTATCACGAAATGAAAAGTATAATTATATTTGAAATTTCCGAACAAAACAGAAAATAATATATTTATTTATATAAATTTGCTAAAAATAATAAGTTTGTAGATTATAAAATAAATAAAAATTTATACTAAAATTTTTTATAAAATTATTTTATAAAATGGTGTATTATAAATTATTCTGATTTTTTGTGGTAGTTTTTGCGTAAAATATGTCATTCATATTATAACGAATATTTTAGTAAAAGAAAATAGGCTATTCATATTTCTATAAATTTATTTAGTTATATATTACCTATATTTACCTATATACCTATTTACAAGTTTGTTTCAAGAATTTATGACTCTTTATTTCCTTTGAATAATTGTACTGTACAATATCTCATTCTGAGTTTTGCTCTTGGTGTGTGAAGTCGTGCTTTAGTCTTGTGCGTGAAAATTCGTTGCTTTTGGATATCTGTCAGGCAGTTGTTCTGCATTATCCAGTAAGTTTATGATAATTCTATTTATTCCACAGATTATTATCTAATTTTTAGCGCGTAATAAGTAAAAAGTAAGACAGGATTTTAGAATAATCCTTTCCCAAATCGCGTGGCTTTCCGACCGCACTTTGATCACGTGGCGTTTCACAGACATCATTTTTTTTCATAAAATTGTAAAGTTATTGGCTTCGCTTATGGGCACAAGTATAATAGTTTGCAACTAACGGATGGTATTCGATGTGGGAAGTTTGGAATTTACGGCGGGTTCAAAGATTCAACTGAAAGGTATCCAATGTCGTCGGTCCCCCGATTTTGTGAAGAGACTCCCCCGAGAGTGGGAAGGAAGCATGTTTTATAGCTCTTTTTGCTAGGAAAATCGGTCACATGATCGGTTGTCATAGGAGATAAAGGTTATAGGTGTTCCTGGGACCTAAAACAAGTGACGAAATTTGGACGCTAACTATAAACTTTTGTGCAAGTGGAGCTGCAAGCTGTGTGATAACAATAGGATGTTGATAGTTATGGAACAAGAGTCTCAAATTTTCCCAGCATTTTTTTCAATCCATTATAAAGTAAAATAATTATATTTTTAGTAAAGTAAAAAAAGTAAAATAATTATATTTTTAGAATAATAAAATTCCGGGTCTGACAATTCTAAACAAAACAAACTGCAGCTGTCTATCCAGAGCGGGGGAGAAGTTCTTGCTATAATTCACACTATGTCTCAAATTACTTAGCTGGGAGAGGAGTCGATTGTTATTGTGAAGGGACGAGTCAAAGTTTATCAATGTATATTTGTGCTTTACATAGTGAATATTTGACGCTTTTCGTATATTTTTTCCACACTTTTTACAATAATGCACTATAATAAGCGATTAGATAATTTTTTCCTACGATTACGCAATATTCGGTAGAAATAAGTTTCCCGGTTAATTTTTCAGCTGAAAGCTTTTGTTCAGAAATCTTCTTGTCTAAGTAAAGTCAAATAACATGAAAACTAGTAAAAATACGCTCTAAAATAAAGATTATACCTAATTTTTTACGTTTGTTTACATTCTGACTTTGATCACGTGGAGTGGTTATTCGCGGGAAAATCCAGACCAGAAAGTTTTGAAAAAACTCTCATTCGTTGAAGTTGATTCTGTCATAATATAAATTGCCAATTAGAGCGTAATAGGCGTAGAAACAAAGATTTTAATGCCAGCAAGAACATCTCCCATAAACTTACTGTAAAAAAGTGGAGTTTCCCAAAAATATTTATTGCTAGATAGTTTTAAAAACATATATACATGTTTAAATATTGTAGAATTGTATAATTTAATGTCAAAAACGTTAAATTAGTTCATTGGAGCTAAAAAAAAGATTTAAAAAGCGAATTTATTCTGATTGTTTACATTTTACTTCGAAGGTTGGAGGCGGGACTTTTCGCAACAATTTTTCCTTTCACAAGTCTGTGATTAGTTACAGTAATGTCAACAAAGACAGAAGATACCCAATAAAAGTTTAGAAGGAGTTTCCCTTCAATTGTTTTCAACCAACCGTGTGGGTTTACTGTAAATAATAGGGGAGTGAGTGTATTATCCGAAACATTTATGGCCCGGGGGTGGTAACAAAGCCCTTATTGGCTTAAGAAAAGTCAATCGACCTACAGAAGAGCGAATCGAAGCTGCGATCGCTGGAAAAGTTTAATATAACGCAAAATAATCAAATTTTTTCATTATTTCTTTACACTTGAAATTTTCGACAAGTAGCGAAAATGAAAACAAATAACTAAGAAAATGACAAATAACTAAGAAAATGAAAATGTTACATATATATGTTTTAGATCAAAAAAGGAAAACAGCACCTTTGTAAACACACGTGAATGATTTTACCATTTATTTACATATTCTTTATAAAAGACAGACAGACAAAAATGAGAATTTATAGATGTACAAGTGTTTAAAATTTCAGCTCAAAAACAAACCTGAAATAAAAACAAAATATTGAAAGATAATAATTTATAGTAAAAAAGATGCACGCGATGGACTCGATGGACGATACTGATTATTGCGAGCGTGTTTTTTATCCGAATTTTTTCTACCTGACGTTTGTGAAACGCCGGCACTTTACGCCTTTTTTTGCGAGTAAACTCGGCGCGCACTGAATATGTTATTTATTGCATTTTTCGCAGTTCCAAAAAATTAGAAAACTTGAATATGTTGAAATGTTTTGAAAAATTTCGGAAAAAATGCTGGTAAAAAAACTGTCACCGGGCGTCTCACACATGCCATGCAATTTGGGAAGTGATTTATTTGTCTTATTTCTACACTCCATTGACAAACTTTTCTCCTATTGTTGGAGTCAAGTTTTCCGTTTTATCTTAGCAAGTAAGTTTATAATTTTATGTATTCTGGAGAATAATCTGTAATTTTTTGCGTATAACAAAACAATAAGACAGTTTTTAGAATATATTGCTTATTTGTAGACTTCATCGACAGTTTTTACTGTTTCGCTGAGTTTTCAATCTTATCTTAGCAAGTAAGTTTATAATTTTATGTATTCTGGAGAATAATCTGTAATTTTTAGCGTATAACAAAACAATAAGACAGTTTTTAGAATATATTCCTTATTTGTAGAATGTCTGATAGCGAGGACAGCTATATGGCGATCTCGGAGAGTGGATCCGAGTCCTACATCCCATCCATCGACGACTCTAGCAGCTCGGACGACTAGGGAAGAGATGCTGCTAGGTCGTGGTGTGCTGCTGACACCAGTACATTTCCTAATCCTCCTCCACGCTTTCCATTCACTGGAACTCCTGGGTGTCGGTTTTCTAAAATTCACATAACTGAACCTTTAGATTACTTTAATTTATATTTCGATAACGAATTAATGAACGAAATCACTACTGAAACGAACAGATACGCCCTATCAAAACCGCAGACATCCAGGAGCCGGTGGAATCCTGTTTCCGTGGAGGAAATGTTTATGTTTTTGAGTGTTATCTTACTGCAAGGAATAATTCATAAACCGGATGAGAGAATGCATTGGACCACAAACGAAACACTTGAGACTCCAATTTTTCGAAGAATAATGGCAAGAAATCGTTTTTTGGAAATAAAACAAAATTTGCATTTTAGTAATAATGAAAATTATAATCCGCGAACTCATCCAAACCCTAAACTGAATAAAATTTGGCCAGTAGTTCAAAATTTATGTTCAAAATTTTCGCGTCTGTATGTCCCAGAAAGGGATATAGTGGTGGATGAGAGTTTGATGCTGTTCAAAGGACGTCTTTCGTGGAGACAATACATGCCTCTCAAACGGTCTCGTTTCGGTGTGAAATTTTACATGTTATGCGAGTCCGCATCTGGCTACTTATATAATTTCATAATTTATACCGGAAAAGATACAGTTTTCAATCAAAAATATAAAGATATGCCTATTACATCAAGAATTGTCTTATCATTAGCGGACTCGTTGTTAGGCAAGGGCTATTGTCTAACAACAGATAATTTTTATTCTTCCCCACATTTAGCTGATTATCTGGTTACGGTCCAAACAGATTTCTATGGAACTGTGAGGACGACCAGACAACAGATCCCAGCTGAGGTTAGAAATAAAAAATTGAAAAAGGGAGAAACAGTGGCGATGCAGAGGGGTAAAGTGATGGCTTTGAAGTGGCAAGACAAAAGAGCCGTCACTTTACTCTCTACGGTCCACAATCCATCAATGGTAAGAAAACAAACTCATGCCGGTAAAATAGTTGTAAAGCCACAGGTTGTTGTCGACTATAACGACACAATGGGAGGTGTTGATGTATTAGATCAGCATCTTCGAGATTATCCAGTGGCGAGAAAAAGAGGGAAGAAATTTTACAAAAAAGTATTTTTCCATCTATTAGATATTTGTACTTTTAATGCTTTTGTTTTACATGAAAAAAATGGTGGCGTACTAAGTCATCTAGACTTTAGAATTAACATTATTGAAACAATTATAGAAAAGTATCACACCGAAACGAGGGTTACAAAACATGGTCAGCCGAGAACTTCAGGTCCGAGAATTCCAGGTCCACTTAGACTTACGGAAAGACATTTCCCGGACCTTCTTCCGGAGACCGACAAAAAAAAGGCTCCCACTAGACACTGTGCCGTATGCAAAACTAAGCATGACGGTGCAGGCAAAAAAATAAGAAAGGAAACGTGATATTTTTGCAAAGATTGCGATGTGCCATTGTGTGCAGCACCCTGTTTCCGAATATATCATACTGTGGAAAAATTTTAAAAAAGTTATTCTTATTTTTTTACATAAGAATTTCACGTAAAAATTTTACATTAATATTTAATCGTTATGTTAAAATATTTTTTGCTTCCTTTCTTATTTTTAACTGTAAATAATTTATATATATTTTTATTAATAATTACGTACATTTAATTTTTATTCACTTTTTTTTATAGTATTTATTTATGTAAAAATTATTACTTTATATCAGATTATTATATTTCAATAGTATAAATAATATTGTATTTTATGATTGTAATCATTTTATAAATGTTTTTGAATCAATAAATTTATTTTCATTTTATGTTTTGTCATGTTTTTCTTTTTAAATTATTTTAAAGCTAACCGACGAATGGCAGCTTTCCTGCACGCTAGCGAAGCACGCGGAAAAGCCACCATCGCAGGCTGCAGGTAGCCCCTGTAAAGTTGGCTATCCAGAGGAAAAGCTACCATATAGGTACCAATTTTTGCGAAATTCGAAAAATCGAAAAAACCACTTTTTTCAATTGAAATGAAGAATTTTTTTATGTAATAAAAATGAACGGGCATTCCAAAAAGACCCTTTTTTATTAAAACAGTCGTTAAGGAATTAATAAGTCATTTGAATTCATATAAGTCAGATATAGGTGATAAATTGAAATATGCATCCATTTTGATCACTGAATGTTTAGAAACTGATCCAAATCCCAGTCTTTCAATGAAATTAAGTTTTATTTGTGAACAAATAAATCTTCTTACAATGAAAGTGCCAAAATACTCATCAGAAACACTGTTGTTTCTTTGTAATTTTTTTTTCACATATCCTGCAGCATACAGACTNTTAGCTTCATTCACCATTGGAATTTTATCCCCATTTAGGTAAATTTCCGGATCCAAGTGCAGACCACGCCTTCGGCAAAAGTGGATGCATGATGTCTTCGCTGCGTTAAATGTGAAGCCATTGGTCTTGGACCAATCATATATGCGATTTAGGGAGGTTTGCAGTTGTCTCTCGATGAAACTCATATTACTAGACTGGCAGGAGATCTGAAAGTCGTCCACATACAAAGAGTGTTTCACACTGGGAGGAAGGCAGTTAACTATGCTGTTAATTTTGATTAGGAACAGAGTCACACTCAAAATACAACCTTGAGGTACGCCTTCTTCTTGGATAAAAGGCCTAGATAGTGTGTTGCCCATCCTAACTTGAAATCTTCGATTCTGTAAGAAGTTTTTTATAAAAATCGGCATATTACCTCGTAATCCGAATTCGTGCAAATCGCCATAGATGTTACAATTCCAGAAAGTCTCCCTAATCCTGAACAAAAAGACAGCATTCAAACACAAAACACTTATGGAAATTGAGAAAACAGTATAAATCTGTTAGATTGATGTGAACGCTCTCTCCACACAAAAGTGTTAGATTTCGTGAGATTAGGTTAAATTTAAAGTCAAATAGTTTGATCTTCCTACAGGATAAGTCCCAAATGTAATATTGGTAACTCCATTTATTGTATTTTGATTCAATTGTGTATTTTACTTTGTATTCACACTTTAGTTTAGTTATATTAAATTTGTTGTTTTATAAACAATCTTATTCATTACGCACTCCAATGCAATAAACAATTCACCCCTTAGCTTTTCTCGGACATAGTCACTCGAACGTCACAGATAATTTATAATTAGAAGTAAACACGAGTTAAGGTGCATAGTTTAAATATCCTTAACTGGTGTCAACATCCTGACGTAGATCTTAATTTCACAATCTAGATCTTTATAAACACTTTTAAAGCAATCCTTTTTGACAAACAGAGAACTGGTTTAACAACTGGAAGCCGAGTAAGCGGTATATGAATCATAACAGTATTCTATACCCCCTAATAATCTCACAACAACAACAAACATATAAAATCGTACAAATAAAAAAACAACTGGGTATATAACAGTAAAAACAAAATATATAATTAAATGTATTTATAAATATTTGTGGCTTTCAAAAAGTTCAGTAACTTATCTAAATTTGGCTTCTGGCACACAATCTCTATCAAACTTGCATTTCCAAAATGCTGTCTACAAATTGCATCGAAGGGAGAGCAATTGCACAGTATGTGTTTAACACTTACAGTTGCTATATTGACATACTGGCTGGTCATCACCCTTCAAAAGTTATTGATGAGTCAGCCGAGTATGTCCAATTCTCAAACAAGTAAGGATAATCTAAAACCTTTCATACACTATGTTGTGTCCAATTTTCTACCACAGGTTTAATCTTATGTAGTTTATCGTGGACTTATGCATTCCACATATTTTGCCATCAAGTTGTTTCCTTCAATAGGCATTGTATGCTCTAAAGCAGTGGACCCCAACCCCTGGGCCACAAACCAGTACCGGTTCGTGGATCAAACAGTACCAGGCCGCCCAAGGATCATTAAATTATTTCCATTTTATTTACTGTGGTGTTATTTCTCTCGGGTTTGTGCGACTTTTAATGGACGTGTGGTTAACCGAGAGCTGAGTGTTGTCACCTAAAACCACACCAATACAGTGCATGCGCAAAACATCATAATATCGAGGCGGATTTAGGTGACGTCTGGAGTTGAGCGGCTGCAAGCGGCAGTGGCATTGTAGCTTTGGTGGAGTGTTGCGATGGAATCGTCTGGACGTACGTTTCCCGCCCTTTTTCTTTTCAATCGAGCAACGGTTGACACAAGGCTGTCTAGATGATACAGGCTGTAAACCTGAAGCCAAAACTTTTGGTGACGTCATTCCTCGGGTCTGTTAAAAACACATTAGAACGAGATTTCATTTGTGATCGGATTAGCTGTGGTTGAATGCTGATGTTAAAAATATTATTAGTTGTAAACTGTTTTCATGGATTAATATTAAATCAATAAAGTAAGTTAAACTTGAATTACAATAGATTGATGTTCACATATTAAATCTTAAAAAAAATAAGTTATTTTTATTCATGAACGCTAAGCCTAACTCATGTTTTCAATGTAAATGATTTTCAAAAAATTCATACCTTGATAATTTAATGTAGTTTAGTTATTTTATTTTTATCCTAGTTCAGTAAATAAGATAACTTATTAATAAAATAAGAATTTAGAACTATATACATTTATCATTTTTAGATGTAAATATACATATCAGCAAATGATCAATATAATACTAAACTTGTTTAAACTATTCTAAAATTAAAATATGACTCATATTTTTTTAAAAAATAGATGTATAAATTTGTATTTATAAAAATTCTTATAAACAAAACAAATAAAACAATACGTTCAAAGAAAACTATATGTCAAACAAAAAATAATGGTAAAGATACAGTTCCCAAATCTTTGTACTGTACAGTACTGTACATGTACATATAGAAATGTAACTGATTACTGTACATACATCCATAATGCAAAAACGAATACAATAAAGACAGATTGATTACATTTAAATTTATTTAACATTTTTTAAACAAAGACCAGTTTCTAACATAAGATGCATATATACTGTATACCTTGCATACAAATGTACTATATATTTTATGTATTTAAAACTAAACCTTTATACTTTTCTATATTTTTTTTATAAGTATATTTATAAATAGCAATTTAAATTATTTTCTTTAATTTTAGATGCCGCAAAAATGTTATGCGCCCAGTTGTACGTTTAATTATGGTACACAAAAGGAATACACTAATGTTTTCAGTTAGTTAGTTAGTTAGTTAATTTTTATTGGCACAAAAGCCATGCAGGCTATACTGCGCCACGACAAATGGTATAATTCAGTGTATAAAATAAATAAGAAAACACATATATACAGAACAGTTTAACCATTCAAAAGCCAATGGTAGTATATATATAAATCTATAATATAATAAATAAATAAATAAATAAATAAACAAAAACAAAAAATATATACAATAATTTAAATATGCACCATAAAGTAAATAAAACTATACAATAAATAAATCATCATATTTCTCTATACATATTAATGACTTTCAGAAAGTCCAGTATATTATCCAGGTTTGGCCTCTGGCCCAAAATGTCTCTAAAGCTTGCATTTCCGAAATGCTGTCTACGACTCTGATCAAAAGCAACACAGTTGCAAAATATGTGTTTAACACTTACAGCACAGTTGCAGTGCTGACATACTGGTTCGTCATCTCCCTTCAAAAGGTATTGATGAGTCAGTCGAGTGTG